AACAGCTGTCTCACTGAGTGCCAGTAAAAACATCACATTCCTGGGTCATCTATAAGACCAGAAACAGTAACTGCTTTGCGCTTATTCAAAGATTCTCCTTTATGAAATATCATTGCTTTCAAATGTCTTAAAGGTTACGTGTCTCAGAGCTGGGATTCTTCCCTCCACGCACTATCATGTAGGACATCCTTTGCTGTTATTTCAGAGACTTTTTCCTGCAAACAGAACAGCCTCCCAGATGTGTACGAATCATCTGTACGGGGCAGCAAGCAAAAGCCTCAGGCGAAGCCATTCTGAGAGCAGGACTTCTCAAATTTCTGACACTGGCAACTCTTCACATAACCTCACCTCTTAGCCATTAGTTTACACCTCAAAGATGGATTTAAAACACCTGCTGACTGTGCTTTAGTTTACTTCTTTCACAGAAAAACATTGCATGGGACATGACACTCCTCCCTTCTCTGCCTGGACTCATCTCTTTTCATTAGGCGAGACTTGGGCACTGGGTCTGGCCAACAGTACTGCTTTAACCACATCTCGTCCCAGAAGAGAGGGCTTCCAAGTTGCAGGCTGTGCTCTACAAGGTACCTACAAAGCCTTGGCATCACATCCTCCAGGGCTCACTCTTCTACACAATGAATAGGTCCTGTTCAGGGAAGCTGTATGGTAAAGCAGCACAGCTGAGAGGCAGTTGAGCGACTGCCTTGGTGCACTGCACTCCTCCTGGAAGAAGAGGGATAGAGGGGATGATTGTTTTGGTTTTGATTTGTTTTCAGTTTGTTTTCATGGAGCCCAGGATTTTTTCAGCCTTAGTCCAGTATCACGAATGAAAATGCTAATAAGTTTTGTTGATAAGGAGACAGTTTCCCAAGAGGATGTACATAAGCTGACAAGAACTTGGCTACGAGAAGGAGGAGCTGAGATCTGCATCAGGGCTGGTCCACAAGTGGCTCAGGACAGTCTTTTTTTATAGTGAATTTAATCTGAAGTTTACTGACTAAAGCCCACTCCAAAACCTGCTTTGGCAGGAGAAACAGGAGGCTTTTGCTCCAAAAAATAATCCTGCCATTTTTCTTTTCCAAATCACACCTCCCTGCCAATGTGCTTGAAATCTAGGGGAGCCTTCAGAGATGTCCTACCAGTCTGGCATAGCACTGAGAGTCTCTCATGCACTGCACTTGCCTGCTTTCAAAGCAAGGCAGGCTGTCCCTGCAGTGTGAATCCTCGCCAGCCATTCAGACACGTAACTCAGTGGTTTGGGTTTTTTAAGTTACTGGGGAGGCTATCAGGTGTCAGGAAAGCTGCTGGTTTCACAGCCCCAGAAATAACTGGGGAATGCTAGTCCCAGAGTGTTGACACCAGAGGAACCAAAGCAGTGGGGACCAAACAACATTTTCCTCCTGCACTTCTCCTCCCAGCTTCTCCCATGTACCTGAAGATACACTGCACGGAGAGAAAAGGCTGCAAAACCAGACCTACCAAACGGCAAGAAAGAGAAACACGCACCAGAGTCCTACCTGCTATCTCAAAGAAGCAGGAGTGCAGCAAGAAACAGACTAGCATCATCATGAAGACTCCAGAAGGGCTGCATGCTCCTTCCTTCCCAAAATGGGGTGGGACATCTTGCCTGAGATCTTCTATATATGTCCTCAGAGAGCATTATTAGGAAAACCTGAGGAAGCAGTAAGGGCTGCCCCACGGTCAGGTGAAAAAGGACCATCACAAATGCACAGCAGCAGCTGAGTTGCCTGAAGGAAGCGGCCTTTGCAAAGCACATGAGTTAGCTCTGCACAAGTTTCTAACACCCTGGTCTCCCTTTGAGACCAGAACTGTAGATGCTTCAACTGCAATTAGCTGTAATGAAAGCAATGATGAAATAACAGAGAGAGTACACAAAAATATTTAACTCCATATGGCAAGGCAAATGCCCGTTTCACACACACATTGTGTAATGTTTATTCCCTTCTACAGGAGAGTGAAAAGGGCACTATTTTAATCCTACCTGGCTCTAGGATTCTCTTGATCTTGGAACAATGAAAGATGCAGATTCAATCCAAAGCTTAAACAGGAAAACACGGTACTCCTGAATAACCTCCCAGCACTTTTCTCCTGCTCATCTATATTAGAGCCACGCGCAAGCTGATGGGGTGCATAGCTTGAATGGATGACATCAAAGAGATCGAGGAGATGCCTCCCATGAACATTTTCCTGCATATACGAGATAAGGCTTGGCAGCTTCGGAAAGAGAGAGACATATTGAAAACCCAGCAAGGCTCCTTCTTGGGAAGTCTGCTGTTTTGTTGCTGGCTTAATTTAAAGAATGACAGACCTACAAATACAGAGACAAAGAAGCTGGTCTGAAGAAGTCAGGTTACTGGGCCAGATCAGATGACCACTCTCTTAAGCCTAACATAATCTCATCCTTATGGCCACACAAACCCCAGTCTCACCAGAAAGCCAACATGTCCAGAAACAGAGATGTTCCTTAGTGGTGTCAGGAACCAGAACAATTCAAATGTTGAGAATCTAAAATAAATGTCGGTCGCAATCCAGCTTCTGTGGCAGCTCTTGCTTCCTTGTTAGGGCCAATCCAAATTCAGACCATGAGAAAACTGTGGATGTTTTAAATCCAAAAGCTTGTCTTAAAGTATTCTTGTTATATGTGAAACATGAGCTTTTAATGCCAGAGCACCCAATGTGTACAGGGCTGTCAAAGGTGCTTGGGGGAGGGCAGGACAGAGGGAAGAAGGCAAGGGGAGGGAAAGGTTTTCAGTGAGCTTTTTTCAGTTCCATAAACATTAGTCTGCATCCCACAAAAGTTGCTCTCACAGTGTAACAAATTCCCCGCTCCTGCCCCAGCAAGTGCAGGATGAACTAGTCCCACCTAACGACTGTTTTTTATGTTTTAATGTACATACTTCATGTTCTGGCATCCGCTCCTCCATTGACTCCTGGGGCTGGCTCACGGTAGCCTGGAAAAATGCTGGAGGAGCCTTTGTTGCGTGAGAGGGCAGAGACAGGTACGATGGGCTGAAACAGACCCTGCAGGTTTTCATCTTATTTCTGCAAGTACAAAGTTACCAGCCAAGAAACCCTGACACTGTTGGGCTTTCTGCCCTGACAACTGGGTCTTCTCAGATATCTGCCCTGTATGATAGATATGTGTCTCCTTCTGTTTCCATGAACCACCTGCCAGCTGTGGCAACGAACTGCAGGATGTTGTTTTAAGGATGTAGTATCTTATACTCCAGTATTGCCCCACTAATTAGAACTAGCACCCCTTGGCATCTGCAGCAACTGCCATGGCAGTAAAGCCCAAGTTGCTTGTGATGATCTCATAAAACAGCAGCTCACAGGCCATGACTGTCCCTGGGGACAGGGGCTGGCACAGCTGTGGATCTCAGCCATAAGGCCACTGACAGCCCAGGCTGCCGAGAAGCTGCACTGGATCCAAGCATCGTCCAAAGGATACAGGCCTAGTGTCTCTCTGGCTGTCTACACCCTTTTTCTGGGCTGCAGTGACCATTCATGGCCTCCCAGTAAGGAAAGTTTTGCAGATTTTCCAGTACTGGTGGGTCCTGCAGTTGAGGCTCCGTCAGCAGAAACCCACTGAGAAGGTCCCTGCTTTCACCGCTGTGATCTTTGTGTATCCACTGTGCTCTTACTGGGTGCATGCCTATGGGGTTGCACAGATAAAGAAGAGCTAAGACTTCAGGAACACCCTTTAGAAAGCAATTATTTAGCATATTAAATTAAGGCAATTAGTAAAATGAAATTATACACTAAATGAAATTAAAAATCTGTATTTTACAAGGTACACTCAGATTCACATTACAGCACCTTCACCCCTGCTCCTTCCTTACCATGCGCTCCTGCTGTTCCTGCGCTCCTGCTCTCCCCTCTGCCCCTAGCCAGGTGGCTGCCCCATAGCACCGGGGGCATTGTAATGTCCTCTGGAGAGGGCCATGACCCGCCATGCGGGGCTAAGCCCTCAACAGGCACTGCTCAAATCATCTTCGCTGCTGACATGTGCGTATCACAGAGCCACAGCCCATGAACAGCTCTAGAAAAGAGCCTAGCAGGTTGATGGATTAATTAGTGTGGAAAAGAAAGTTAAATTCAACTGAGTTATTAAAAACAACTGTCTTATTTGCAGTAAAATGGCATAGCAGTGAGAGTTAATATCTCTACTATATATCATCCCATTTCCTTTTATATGAAGATGCATACTTCTCTCATCAAGTCACTAGGAAAGCAGTTATGTGATTGCCTTGGAGGTATCAAGATGTAACTGGCAAACTTCATGCTATCTATGGAAGTGCAGATTGTTTGCTGTGGCGTAATAGGTTACATTCCATTCTAATCCTGTTCCAAAATGAAACAAAACAATATAAATACATTTAAAGAGGATACTGTACAGGATTTGTAGTACAAACAGAACATAATTGTTGCTGTATCCCTTGAGGTAGTTTTGGCAGGGTTTTAGCACACACCCCCCCAAAAAAGGGGTCTGGAAGAATCTGAAATCTGAGGGCAGAAAAGAGGAACAGTTCATTCGTATCGCAAGGTGCCAAAGGAGAACAAGGCTAACAAAAAGTAACTGTTTCACAAACCAAGGAATGGGAACACCAGCCTCTGCAGGGGACACAGAGAGTCACCCTCACAGGGTCAGGCTGGTCGGTCCGTCCGGCCGTGGAGCCTGCTGCCGAGGACTGACAAATGCTCTGCAAGGTGTGGGACACCTCTCACTGGGACCCAAGAGCATCCCTTGTCAGGACAGCTGGGGAATGTTTTCCAAGGAATTAGCCTCACAGCAGCTGGCTTGCCTTGAAGCAGAGCAGTTTATATTTTAGGATTTTCTTCTGGTTCTGTAGTACACAGTGTGGCTCCACCTTTCTCTTATGTAATGTTTGCCCAAAACTGCGTGTAGTTCCTGAATTATGGTTATTGCATTTGACAGAACTTGTGGGTCGGGAATGAGACTAATCAGAGGAGATACTGTGCACTCCTGGACATCAGAGCCACCCTGACTGACGCTTTCAGAAACTGCTCAGGAAATTGGACACCCAAATACAAAAATCTGCTTTAGAGCCCAAGCCTCTGGCATATAAACAGTGTCTGCAGAATTCACCTGCTCCTTGTTGCCTGTGTAAACGCTCTATTTGAACAGATAAAATAAGAAAGTATGCACATGACTGTAAATAGAAATATCACACATCAGTGAGGCTGTTCCACCCATGCACCGACATTTACAGGGGGCAAGAAATTGTTATGCTTTGTGAGCACCGCTGAGCCCTATGGAGAAGGCACTTCAGGTCACAACCCCAATTCCACCATTTCTCCCAGCAGGAGAGCAAGAGGTTGCAGGATCCAAGTAACAGCAGATCTCTGCTACCTTTGCCATTTCCCCAGATAGAGCAAGGCTGAAATTTTTCTCTGCAGCTTCCAAAATCCTCTTTCTTTCTAAGCCCCAGACTGTGCCAGTTTTGCTCTCAGAAGGCACGGGGCAGGATCCGCCCCAGAAAGGACAAGATGGTAAAGTACCTTGGTATCACTCCACTCTCCTCTGCTGAGGAGGCTGTACCCGTGAGATGGGACATGTCAGCTTCCACATGTCACGTTTGGGAACCACATGAAACATCGTGAATTACGTGACCTCCCAGAGCAGCAGCAGGTCAGCTTTTTAACTGGCTTTATAATTATTAGATAGATTTAGAAAGACAGTACTTATTTTTCCCTTTTTTAAAATTATCTTTTGCTATCTGGTTGATTGATTTTTGCCATAGCCAAGGGAGGATAAAAACAATCGCCAATGTTGTCTCAAAACACCATTTATATAAAAGTGTGTAGTATTGATTAAATTCTGTTCCCGGTATTTCCTACTATGCTAACCTATCTTCAGCACCAACTGAAAGTCAGTGGTCTATTTTTATGTTGCCTTGAATATAGGGTGGATTTCACTGGGCTTTAAGTGAGTTAAAAAAGCCTATGTTAATCCTTCATTGACAAACCAATGTTCCTGTGTATACATCTTTTTTACTGTGTCTGATTATTTCAGTTTCAGCCTGGTCCTGGATCAACTGTTTTGCATTTCACAAATGTAAGCTCTGTGCATGATTCCAAACTTGCTAACTTTCCCAGAAATATAAAAGTCTTAAACCACCTTTACCTGGCAGAGTGAAAACATTCCATAATTTATTTCTAGCCAATGTTTTCAGTGGTTTTGTTATTTTTCCCCCAATATACCTTATCATCATTTTAAATGACAACACACGAAAAAGTAATTGAATTGTACTGCTGCCTTACATCTTGTTATTTACACCAGCAAGGATACCTTCTAGGTGCTCCACTTGTTTATCTCTGAAATCACCCCCTGGCCAGCCCTAGATTTACTGCAACACAAGCCTTCATTGACATTTCCTCTCCATATATAAACCTTGTTGTGGCCCACACTTACACACTGTGTTACAGAGAGTAAGCAAGTCTCCGTGATGCTACCTATGGCAAATACCGCCCACAGAACTGATAAACAAGTTTTCTGTTATGTTAGTTTAAACCAAACTTCTTACAAATAGAGCAGCCACACACAGCAATACCTCCCAGGCAGAGCATCTGCTGTCTGCACGACAAGGAGGTTTGCCGTAGACAAAGACCAGGGTCCGGTACAGGCAGCAAGCAGGATGGAAGGTGCTGTTCCAACGACAGCAAGTTGCTCTGTCTACTGGGAGCCACCGAGAGCTACTGAGGGCAGGTGCTCCCTGCTTGGAATGATGGGAAGTCACACCAGAGAGGGAAGGAGGGGCAAAGTGCCAGAATACCTATTTACAAGTTTGCAATTCTGCTGCGGACATTTGTTTTGCACAGTCAGTACGCAAAAGGCTCCTGCAGCATCCAATATCCATACAAGCTCTTCAATCAGGTGTAGCCAGCTGTCACATGAACAGTACAGGAGTCACGGCTCCCCACCTAGGCACTCACAGCCAGCTCCAAACCTATCTGAGAGGTGATGAGCACAGGCTAGTGCAGGAAAAACCAACTGCTTTATGCTTTGCTGCCATTCGGTCAGGTCTGCAGGATGGACAGCAAAATCTCTGTTTGCACTGTGCTTCACCTGCTTTAATACACTTTGCAAGCCTTCGTGCAGTTCCCTCTGCACCCCACCCTGACACACACACGCACGCACTGCCATGCTCTCAACTGATCAGGTAACCAGTGATTTTCCAGGTCATGAGACAAAACTGTTTGGGAGGCTCAGTTGGGTCTCTCCATGACCAGCTGAGCACACCTCGTCACCAGGACTGGAAAGAAGCCTGAGAACCAAGACTTCCCGGCACTGGCATCACCTTATTGCATGGTCCTGAGCAAACCATGATGGTGGCGTGCTCTCCACCCTTGTTGCCCTCCTACTTGATAGGGTGGCTTCTTTACCTACATCACAGACCTGGGGCTCGGGCAGTGCTGGCAGAGTACTCTGGAGATGTAAGCAGCTGTCCAAGAGACAAACACTACTCACAAATGTTTAGAAACGCCACATTTGCCTTCGTCCACAGTGCTGTAGTATTTCTGATTCTGCTTGAAAGCATGTAACACAAAGAATTTAAAAAGTGCTCACGTAAAAAACTTTCCACATTCTTATGAATTCTCTGCAAGAATTGGGATCTATTTGATTGAGACAGCCTTTGCAAATTCTTATTTTACTTGAGCTACTTACATTTCCAAATTTCAGAGTCAGTAACTCCCTTTTCTTTTAAAACCATGAGAGACACCCTCAAAGTTCAGACTATAGTTTTGAGATACTGTTTAACAGAATTTTGCATTTTGAGGTAAAGGTGATGTACTTACCAATAGCCGCCTGCAATAACCAAACCGCCGGCTCCCATCTTCCCCAGTCAGCATGAAAGAGAAGGTCTCACTAGAAGAAAATAAATTGCCCAGATCTTACTATCAGAACTGCAGCATAGCTATGAGGTAGGTCATTCAGAAAGGGGTACTGCCTTATCCAGTGAGAGATTGTACGCACTGGAGGGTCTTCTCTCCCTCTGGCCATCATCTGGACAAACTCTGTGGACACATTCCATCAGTGCTAGAGCAAAAACATCTGCACGTTGTAGATAGCCTAGCTGTCTTGTTACAAGAAGACATGGGTGCTGAATTTCAGTGACGCAGCAGTCCCTTTGTACTGCAGAACAAATACAAGAATCAGATTTGGAGGGCAATATTCAAATGCTGCATCTCCCTTACCTTCTAGTTAGATCCTGTCTTTGGACTGTATTTTGTTCTTAAAGGGAGAACCTTAGATATTCTCTAAGAGTAGAGAAATCATTTTCTAATCCAGAAACAACACAGATTTCCCAAACCAGCTCATTTTATATCCCTGTCTAGGATAAGTACCATTTGTGACAGAGAAGTAAAACAACAGTTTAAGGCTATAATTACAGCACAGGTAAAGGGATGAGTCTGTGAATTTGTGCATGGACTGAGAAACATTCCTGACTGTTTTGCAAGTTTTAAATGGCATTATAAAAAAACCTTTTTCTTTGTGCTGGAATGCCAGGGATTAGATAATTATAGCTGAATATGGGAGGGATATCTTGTTTCACAAACATGGGCTCATGAAATGTCTGTCTAGGAGAGCAGCAGCAGCAGAGTTGAAATGCTGTGTAGGCAGGGCTGTGTGCTTCTCATACCAATGTTACCCATACAGTTGTCCACTTCTCCTTCAGTGTTTTCAATAACTCACTATTCAGGTGCTTCCACGTGCTGAATAATACAGCCAAGCAACACACAATATAACACAGTTATGCTGCATATGCTATATGAAAGCCAATAAAAAGTTCCATACGTATTCTTGGCTACAGTAATTCCTGAAGGTGAATGCTAGTTCCTTGTCATCATTGAAAGCCCCTCTAGACACACTCTGAACAGGTCTTCATTTACAGACATCTCAGACCATGCTTCTTAAAAAGCCATCTCATATGCGGTTGGCACACTGGAGGGAAGGGATGCCACCCAGAGGGACCTTGACAGGCTTGAGAGGTGGGCCTGTGCGAACCTCATGAGGTTCAACAAGGACAAGTGCAAGGTCCTGCACCTGGGTTGGGGCAATCCCCCGTATCAGTGCAGGCTGGGGGATGAAGAGATTGAGAGCAGCCCTGCCGAGATGGACTTGGGGGTACTGCTGGATGAAAAGCTGGACATGAGCCAGCAGTGTGCTCTTGCAGCCAAGAAAGCCAACCATATCCTGGGCTGCATCAAAAGCAGTGTGGCCAGCAGGTCGAGGGAGGGGATTCTGCCCCTCTGCTCTGGTGAGAGCCCACCTGCAGTCCTGCATCCAGCTCTGGAGCCCTCAGCACAGGGAAGACATGGAGATGTTGGAGCGGGACCAGAGGAGGGCCACAAAAATGATCAGCGGGCTGGAGCACCTCTCCTATGAGGAAAGGCTGAGAGAGTTGGGGCTGTTCAGCCTGGAGAAGGCTCCAGGGAGACCTTGTTGTGGCCTTTCAGTACTTAAAGGGGGCTTATAAAGAAAGATGGGACAGACTTTTTAGCAGGGCCTGTTGCAATAGGACAAGGGGTAGTGGTTTTAAACTAAAAGATGGTAGATTTGGACTAGATATACGAAAGAAATGTTTTACGATGAGGGTGGTGAAACAACAGAACAGGTTGCCCAGAGAGACTGTAGATGCCCCATCCCTGGAAACATTCAAGGTCAGGTTGGACAGAACTTTGAGCAATCTGATCTGTCTGGTGATGTCCGTGCTCATTGCAGGCGGGCTGGACTAGATGACCTTTAAAGGTCCCTTCCAACTCAAACCATTCTGTGATTCTGTCCCTTCTGCCTATTCTACTACACCTTCAGATCTACAGGTTCTGACACATCAAAGCAGGGGAAAAAAAAGATTATTTTTTTTATTTTTTTTAATGAAGAAGAAAATGCAAGCCTGGCTCTCCCTTTTCTTGCCCTCCTCCTGCAGTCATTCGTATCTGAGGGAAAGAATACAGGGGTTCTCCACTGGCACAGAGCTCAGCTCCAAAAAAGTTCTCGGAATAGCATTGCTTTGAGCCAAATGAAGAGATGTCCTGCAAAGTTAGACAAACATTTCTGGGTAAATGACTAGGGCTGGTGTTGTTCAGAGCCCTGTCCTTTTTAAGATTTATTTTAAATACTTCCATTTATGCTTTTGGGTTTAGCACTGAGAAGAACCTTCAAACTTCTTCCTCTCAGCCACACAGGCCTGTGAGCCAGGCAGAATAGGGAAAACAAATCATACAGATCTTAAAAAAAAAAAAAAAAATTAAATACAGCTGCTTGAGCCTGAAGTGGCCAAGACTCAAACTGCTACTTCCTTAATTGGGCATCAGCGAGTCTCTGGCTCCTCCAGATGCACTCCATCAGCACTGTGCAGCAGAGGAGCACCGGAGGGTTTACCTGTTGTATTCAGAGACAGGGAGCCAGTCCTTGGCATCGGGAAAGCAGAACTGAGGGATAGCCTTGAGACGCTCCTCTGCTTCACGCATTTGCTTGGTTGGTCTTTCTAGCTGCAGGGGAGAAAATTGAGGTTCAGTCAGTCACTGTTAGTGCCAGCTTCACAGCACCTCTCAGAAAGGGAGCGTTACTAACGAGCTCTGAAGAGCAACGGCCCATCAGCTTATTCTTTATTTGTGCTTGGCAGAGTGAGGCATGAGCCAAGGAGAGGCTTATAGATGCTAGTACAATAGAGATAATCGCTGCTGGGTTTTTTCAATTATTTTTTTAAAAATTGCCCAAAACTTCCTTGTTGCACAACAGGCAGTTAAAACACAGACCTAACTCAAATTCCTTTCTGCTGTAAGAGCACAAGAGAAATGCCATAGATCAGCAAAAGTCTTTCCATTGACTTCAGTGAGTTTTGGAACAAATCCTACTATAGCCAAGACGAGTTCAAAGTGAAATATTTAGAAACTGAATTTAAACACAGTCTTTAAAGCATCTACCATCAGGCCAAAATCTCCAGCACTGGAAAAGATAAATTTGTAAACAGGGAAAGATTTTGGTCAACTTCTCTATGCCCTTCGCTTTGTAACAGATCACTTTGGAACAATTATGAAACCTGAATTATTAACTCCATTGAAAAACTAGATTTCTATTAATTTTTCCACTTATTCACTCTACTGACCTTAGAATGAACTGTACTTAAGAATTTTTCTTTTACCTTGGGAAACTGATATGTCACTTCTGGGAGGTAAGTGTTTTTAGAGGGCTTCTTTTTCAGTGACACTACCACAAAATACTCAAATAACTCCCGTTCCTGCCATTCAATCAGCTCCAGTTCCAGGGTTCGATAACTTGGAGCCCTCTTCAGCATTGACTGGATGTGTACTAGACGCTGGGTATGAGCTAGCATTAAAAAAACAAAACAAAAAAAAAGAGACAGATCATTACGTGGGACTGTAATGTGTATGTGTAAGTCACAGCCATTCACAAAGCACTTTCAGTTTGCCAGTGTATTATTCCAAGCATGTTCTCTTTTCAAAAGCAAACCTTCATACCATAGTCTCCCTCACTAATTGCACCCATAAATCAAAACTGTCTCCAAGTACTGAAGTGATGGAACACGCAGTCACTGAAATAATTTGCAGTTCATAACTGTTACCCTGCCAAAAGTCTGCTTTTCTTTGCACATAAGACTAGATTCTAAGCCCTTATGTGGGTGTGCAAATGCACTAGGGCCTTTGGGGTGACACATCTCAGGCCTGAGCTGGACCTGGTTTACACTGGTGAAAAACAGTTCTGTGACCTGTCCCTGTGTAGCACAGCTTTATGCTAAGAACCACTGAAGGTATATTTTCTCATTCTCTACAGCACAGGCATAGTCCATACAAGCCATGGAACGACCTCCAGGGAAGGGGGAAGGAAAGGACAGAGGTGCGAACTGCCTCCTGTGGGACTGCTTTCCTTGTGCCAGTTCAACTAAGGGACAATCTTAGATTCATGGTCATGTCCAGTCCTGATTCCAAGATATGCCTTGATCCAGTGACTTGTCGCTAGATGTCTACAGTGGACTACTCAGTAACATCATTACCAGTTCTGGCAGACCAACGCAATGGTAAATGAATGATTAGCGGCACATGTCAATCTCTTATAGGCTACAGTCACTGACACTGCCCACAGTTTGCAAAAGGTAGACTGTCCTTGTAGCAGTGAAATAAGGTGTCACAAGCACTTTATCACAACAGTAATTAATTGACAGAAAGAAAGGGAAACCACTTGATGACCAGCCGTCATACAACTGGTTCAACAACTTAAAGATTATTTTGATAAAGCACTTGGGTCTTGGTGTGACTGCACAACTAGGGAAGCTAAATCCCAAGAAATAACCTGCCTTGTCAGGCCTTGAGACAGCCTCACACTGCTGGCCAGTGCTTTGTGTTTGCAAGAGGTGAAACCAAAGGGCTCACCCCACCCCAACAGATGGGACCCAGTGGATCCTGTCGTGCTACACGTGACAGCTGGATCTTTGGCTCAGGATACCCCAAGAGCATCAATGTAAATATAAGGTCACACAGGAGCAGCTGGTTAGGGAATCATCAGAATGAAGATCCTCCATTCCACAACAATGAGGGGAAAAGCTTCCCAGTTTCCAGTGAAATCAGAATATCCTCCCAATAACAAGAGAGAGGGCAGGCCCTGTCTGAGTTCTTTCATGGGGTATGAGCAAAAGCAACCCCTGTATTTTCTGACACAAAGAGAAACAGAACTGAAAGTGCTTTTGGGCTGGTACCTGCCTAAAAAGGAGCAACGAGTGTTTTTCCACACATCACTGTACAACCTTGCATGCAGCCTGTTTTGAGTGGTCTTACCATCTCCTATGTAAATCTTTTTCCCTAAGACAATTTTTTCCACCGAGTTTTCCTGCATGAACAGTAAGCAGGTGACATCTGCAGTAGATAGACATGAATGCTTGCCCCTTAACTTATAACCACAGCTCTGCACTCTTGGTTTTTTCCCCCCTCCCTTACTAACAGCATGATAGGGTTTTCATAATAAAATCTGTTGTTGCTGCCTTCAACTTTTTTATTGTTTTCTCTGTGTATCAGGACCCTTGAAAGTGAGGGACTAAATTACTGGCCTGGCTCAAGCAGAGTTTGTGCAGGTGTTGTGCACTGATAAAGGAAATTCTACAATTTGGAGACTGCAGACCCATAAAAGAGTCTAAGAACCGCTGCGCTGGATCAGACCCAGAATCCTGCCTCCAACAGCAGCTAGTGGTAAACACTTAAAGCAGTGTATGAATAAGAAGAGACCACGTTTCTCCAATCTCATCCCTCTAAGTTTGCATCCAGTAGTCAGTCTGGAAAACATCAGCATCTGTGAAGTGGCTGACAAAGGAAATCTGTCAAAGGTCCTGTTCTTCATTATATGACACAGTTGCCAAATCTTTGTTAGGTCCTCACAGCTCATTTTGTCCTTGCTTTCCACATTCATGCTCCTGTGTTGGAAACTTTGTGAGCTCTGCAGTAATGGAGTTAGCATAGCTCAAGAAGGAAAATATAGGCCATGGACAGGAACAACATGCAGTAGCAGGAAAACGTACGTTGATAAAGTCTGTGACAGTGGCTGACTAGAAGTTATTGAAAGCTGATTACTTACCTTTAAACCTGTCATCGGAGTCACTCTCACTCTCGCTGTTCTCATCTGCAGAGAAGACAGAGGGATCAGTTAATGCAAAATCAGAGCAAACAAACTTGGTTTACTGTGGTGAAACTGGAAAAAAATCATATCTCACACTGAGCCTTGTGATCCATGCATGCTTTCCCCTCAGTTTTAAAATGTCTTGAAATAAACAGTTTGAATGACCCCTTAGATTGTGTTTTCCTTGGATTAAGTTTCAATTTTGCTTGAGAATAAGAGCTTCATTTTGATGAAAGTGCAAAAGTCATTCTCCATTACAGCAACCAGTTGCACTGAACCCCATAGATGTTAAGCTACAGACGTGAATGTGCCATTTGGAAAATGGATTTTAACCCTTCCATTTCTTTTTCAGACTATAATTTAAAGAAAAAAATAGTTATAGAGTTCTTGAGACATCAAAGCAAGCCTTATAAGCTTTGTCTTTATGGGCAACATTTTCAGTCACCGGAGCTCACCCAACTGAGTGAGAATAACATGCAAAAGTAACCTTATGACAAGATGTATTTCTGAGGTGTACTTGTATTAAAGCCCTATTGTACTCCTACTACAAATATGGCCTGAATTTCTTTTCGGCCTCTTTTCTTCCAGAAGAAGTCTGAAGCATAGTATGAGTTACATTCACATGTCAGGAAAGCATGAATGAATTACAAAGTCAAAACTGTGAATTTTGGACAAAACTTAGAGATGCACATTACTCAAAAAGTGAACTAAAGAGGATGAAGATGAATAAATCCAGCTGATCATGGGATTAATAGGATAGACAATGCTGAGAATCTCATAGATTTTTAGCTCATCCCCATTTTCTCCTCTTACAGAGAGAAAGTGATCATTGTTCATAGCAGAAAGTTCTAAACAAAGTAGAGTCCGGGGTCGATGTGGAGAAAAGAAGGGAATCTGTTAATCCTGTGACATTCAGATGGATTCACTGAACCATGATGCTTCTGTTATACCTCGCAGGGACGCTGTCTCAATATTGGACATAGAAAGTTTCTTCAGTCGTTTTTTTCCTCTTTTTGCACTGTAGATGGAATTGATTCTTTGGACAAGCTGCAAAATAAGAAAATGAGGAATCAGTAAGATCAAACACTTTTCTGCCAGGACTTTTAATTACTCCATCCAAACAAAGAATTTGACCATGAACGGTAGGCGAGCTGAACCCCCAAAAGCCTTTACTGTTTCAAAGTGTATTTCTTATCCCTCTAATTTTGAATCTCATTTGTCCGAATCACTTATTTCGAATCTCACTCCTTTACCTATGAATATATTTTAAAAAACAATTAGATAACTCAGAAACCTAAATCCTGTTTTCAAAAATCTTGTTGTCATTTGCAATAAAAGTACAATGAGCCTGCGGATTCAAAGGTAGCTGTTATCCTCTACCACCTCATTCCTCTCTATGCTATTGTTTCTCTCTTCACTTGCATTGTCTAGGTAACAGTGATCCATTAGCCACATCCAACTTTACCAAACTCTCATGGACCTAAAGATCATATTCTTACTTTGAATAGAAGAGTAACATGTGTGTTAGCACCTCTCAGAACCGACACTTTAGCGTGTTCAAATAATCATAGAATAGTTTGGGTTGGGAGGGACCTTTAAAGGCCATCTAGTCCAACCCCCCTGCAATGAGCAGGGACATCTTCAACTGGACCAGGTTGCTCAGAGCCCTGTCCAACTCGGCCTTGAGTGTTTCCAGGGATGGGGTGTCCACTACATCTCTGGGCAACCTGTTCCTGTCTCTCACCACCCCAACTGTAAAAGCTTTCTTCATTACATTCAGTCTGAATCTACTTTCTTTTAGTTTAAAACCATTACTCCTTGACCTATTATTTCAGGCCCTGCTACAAAGTCTGTCCCCATCTTTCTGATAAGCCCCCTTTAAGTACTTGAAAGCTGCAACAAGGTGTCCCTGGAGCCTTCTCTTCTCCAGGCTGAACAGCCCCAACTCTCTCAGCCTTTCCTCATAGGAGAGGTGTTCCAGCCCTCTGATCATTTTTATGGCCCTCCTCTGGTCCCGCTCCAACAGGTCTTTCCTTTGCTGAGGGCTCCAGAGCTGGATGCAGGACTCCAGGAGGGGTCTCACGAGAGTAGAGCAGAGGGGCAGAATCACCTCCCTCCTTCTGCTGGCCATGCTGCTTTTGATGCAGCCCAGGATACATCAGCCGGCTCATGCCCAGCTTTTCATCCATCAGTACCCCCAAGTCCTTCTCAGCAGGGCTGCTCTCAATCCTTTCATCCCCCAGCCTGTATTAATACCAGAGGTTGGCTCAGCCCAGGTACAGGACTTTGCACTTGGCCTTGTTGAACCTCATGAAGTTCACATGGGCTCACTTCTCAGCTTGTCCAGGTCCCTCTGAATGGCATCCTGTCCCTCAGGTGTGTCAACTGCACCTCTCACCTTGGTGTCATCTGTCAACTTGCCGAGGCTGCACTCAATCCCACTGTCTATGTCACTGATTAAGATATTAAACAGTGCTGGTTCCAGTATGGACCCCTGAGGGACACCATTCATTACTGATCTCCATCTGGACATCAAGCCGTTGACCACTACCGTCTGGTTTTGACTATCCAAATGATTCCTCACGCACTGAACGGTCCACCCATCAAATCCATATCTCTCCAGTTTAGAAAGAAGTGGGGGACTGTGTGAAAGGTCTTACAGAAGTCTAGATAGATGATATCTGTAGCAATTCCCTTGTCCGATGATGTAGTTACTCTGTCAGGTGGGAGGCAGGACTTGCTCTTGGTGAAGCCAAGCCAAATAAGCATAGAAGGAGATGGCCCTAACTTTTTAAAGCCTTTTCAGGTACAGAGTGAAGCAGCTGCTTTGAAGCTGTGCCGTACCAGCTGAGGATCTGGCCCATATGGACTTCTCCTCTCTTCCCCTTTCAACTCATGCCGTACTTACCTTACTTCAGAGGTGCTGTATCTACTTACTACAGTCTTATCCTAGTGCTGGCTTTAACCAACACTGGCCAGAATTTTAACTCCTGGTAATAATCTTTATGAATTCCCTCAGCAGGGCTAATGCAGATAATAACTGTCTATTCAAAATATCCGAGATGATGGAAAATATTAATAACAGGTTTAGTGCCTTCAACAAGAGGTTGGGATTACTAAGTATTCATAATTAAATAGAATATTATTACTTCTGGAAAGTCATAAATATGTAGCAATTAATCAGCAATTAATCTTCATAATGTTTTTATGAGTCAGGAATAGTATATTTCATTCCATAGCAGCCTTACTCATAGAACTATAATACAATTTGCAAAAGCTGTTTTACCTCAGCTTGCAGAAAGAAATAAACCCAGTGAGAGAAAGTTGCTGTAGACACAGCAGAACGCCAGTAACAGAGCACAGACTGGAACAAGGACTCATGCAACCCTTCCAACAGAGGAAGAGGGTCTGGCCCAGAACGGACAGTTTGAAGTGTTAAAATCCTTGCTTGTTCTCCCACTTGAAGCAGCGTTCAGGATTTTGCCTCTACGCGCTGGCTGAGCCATGTGCAACCCACCAGCAAGGCTCAGCCCGAACTGCTCTGCTGGCGGCCGTGCGCCTGGCTGTGGCTGCTGGGAAGCTGCAGAGCACCGCGGCAGAGCCGGCGGGATGAGATCCTGCCCAGCTCCCGCACGCGCGTGCCGGCCCAGAAACGCCTGCATGTAAGCGCTAAATAAGGCATCAGAAACCAGGAGTGAGGGGCCATGCTGGGAGTTTTCACTCCCTTTGCTGTTCTGCTTGGCACTTTTTCTGCTTGCGCTACTTCACCAGGGGTAAAACACCTGCACTGGGGTGAGGAAAGCCCAGATGTTTAAAGCATTTGGATATTGCTTCACAAAGCATCACTGGGGGTGGTACAGAACAGGAGTTTCTCAGGTTCTAGTTTTTCCCTCTAATAACTAACATTTTCTCAATAAAAACCTGAGATTCTCCAGTAATATGTGATTCTAGGAGCTAGAGTGGTCAAAAAAAGAAATTATCACAAGATTTATGATAAAAATATGAACCTTCATACGCTGAAAACATAATTGCATATGAGGAGAATGTCTGTCCTTTAAATCCACAAAAAAAAGAAAAAAAAAGTTGGGTACAAAACTAACAGCCAAACTCTCCAAGTTTTACTCAAAACCAAGTAGCAAGCTACTCTGTAACTTCCTACACAGATGTACGCTCATTTATGCAGTATAATAGTATATCCCAAGAAAGCAAAAACATAGCAAATATTAAGGAGAGAGAATTAATTTCCTCCTGAGTCCAGTAAACAAATGATGGGGAAAAAAACCACTTCAGATGCATGTTATAAATAATAATTGCTTGACCATCAGCCATTCAAAATCACAAAGTTAGGTACATAAAAATGCTATGGCCCATAAAGCTTAAAGAAAAGTGCAGAAAACAGAACTGGCTTAAAATCAACTCTGTGCAAAGATGGCAATCAGATGTTTGCTGCTCTTGGACCAGGACAGAGTTACCCTTTTCTAGGGAAGGGATTTTCACAGTACGGCTGTACGTAAAAAAGGAGTATGTCTTGGCTCCTGAGAGTTACTGTTTCTGTTTTGATCTCAGCTTTCGTTTAGGATACAGTAAGAGCTTTCAGTGATGGCTAAAGACTGAATAGGAATTTGCAAGCTCTTGCAGACAGGTGACTTGTCCTCAGCATGAGCCTGATCACCCTGCCAGTACCTTTGGGATCCTCCTGGCCCGCCGTGTAGACAGCAGCTCGCTTGTGGTACTCAGGCTGTCCTCATTGAGGCTGGAAGGAGAGGAGGGAATGCCAAGCTGAGCCAGCAGCAGCATGTCATCGTGGCTGTGCCGCTTGGGCAGCCGTGGTAAGCGGTGGGTCTTCCTTTCTGACCAGTTCCCAACGCGCAGAGACTGGCTGCTGGGCTTCGAAGGTAGCTGCAGGAACAAGAACAGCTTGAGCTCCTCCCTGCGTCAGCAACACTCCGTGCAGAAAGTGCAGAAGCAGCTTTTTGTGAGTGAGCAGTGGCTACACGAGGACATCACGCCAGGTGAGCCGCTGCTCGGTGGGATACGTGCGAAAAGAGGGTTTAAGGTCAAATCATGGAGAGGAGGGTCAATATCTAACACTTTAGAGTTCAAAGAAAACAACAGTACTTTTGGCTTTGGTGCATTTCCATGCACCCACATCACCTCAACTCTATGAGCCTCTAAACCTAACTTAAAGGCTTGGCTGACATCAGAACACTGACCCAATGGGCCTGATCCGTCTCTTTCACTTGCAATAGTCAAAATCAAGAGCAATTACACTAAATGTGCTATTTTGTCCTAGAGAATGAAAGTAGAAAATTAAGCTTGCTGTATTTCCATGGTGTTAAGATGTTTTAAGATCTGCATATGTGCAGAGGTGAGGCTAAAGCTTTGTCCTGCATTTGCAAAGAATTCCGTTTAAAACACGAACTGTTATCATTGCAGGGGGCAGGGAGACTCACTGACAGGATTAAGCCCCAGGTAACAGCTGTCTTTAAAAAACTGGGGCTCTTTCGGAGCAGCTCTTCGAGCATCTCTGCCCAGCTCTCAGGAAGGTTAATCGGCAGGCTGGTAAGGTCGGGTCCCCCCTGCCTTCTCCTCCCAAATACAAACACTGTAGGAAGCTTAACCAGCATGTCTAGAAAAAAGTACTATTATGTCAAATAGCTGTTAATTGGAATTTGCTAATATTTTATTAGCAGTATTATGAGCTATAAACCTGCAGTAACAGATGTTCCATCTGTTCTACTTGGAGGGCTTACCTGTTACAGCGCCATTACTATCTGGGAGTAAGCATAAGTGTTTCTGTATGTGTGGGTTTTGCATCACAAATACAATATCTCATCCATAAAATATCCTTTCTATATCTGATTACTTTGAAAAATGAAAGTAACGAATAGGAAAGGAGAAGACATGGTGGGATTCAAAGTGACCACAGTGTCCCTGAGGTCTGTGCTTACCACGAGTTAGCATGCCAGGAAAATCTGCAGCAGTCTATACTCTAATAAAAGGAATTATTTTTGGAGATGATTGTTGATAGCCTGCTGACCTTCTGATCTCTTCCATCTTGTTTGTCATCATCCATGACTGAAAAAGTCATGTTGCTAATCCAGCTATGTTGCTATGCTGGAAAAACTGGGTGATAAATCATTGCCAAAGCTGCCATTCTTCAGGAAATTAAGACTTTTCTATTTCTGGTCATTGGGGAATTACCCAGGCCCATAGTTGACCTGCTCTTAGTGTCTCTTTGCTTTATGTATCAGCACAGTGACAGCACAATTATGGCAAGACTGACTCCTGGCAGGAAACTCCTGGCATTGTTTCAAAAAGAAACTACCAGAATAAAGATAGCTCTGTTGCAAAAAATACCAGGCAGTGCTTATTTACTGAGCAACTTTACAGAAGTCATTTTGATCTGTATATTCTCTGGTCACCCTCTGTAAAAGACAGGACAATGGACAGTATCTTACGATGAACCTATATGGTTCCTACCCTAATGGTATGCCCTGTTGGATCCTCGAGATGCTACACAATTCCTGTTAACACACACACACAGACCACCAAATAATTGTTAGGCATAGTATGTATCTCGCTACAAGGTTATCTTCGTGGCTGCAGTTTCTGTTTCTCCTTACTCTGCATGATTACTACTTTCCACTTGTTCTTTCTTCAGTAGCTTTGCTGAAAACACTCCTGGTTTATAAGTGATGTGTTAGGTGCACACTAAGAATCCTGGTGATACTTCTTTTGTCTCTTAGACTGTCATGCTCACAGGCACACAAACTAAGTGAAAGAAAACATATTCAGTTTTGTTCTAGGTCTCTCTACAAGACAAAAATGTAAATTGTTGTGACCTGTTGTTCAACTGCAAATTTTCTGTTGGTTCAGTGCAAAACAAAGTTCCTTTAAAAGGCATTTTGAATCTCAAAATTAAATATGTGATGAAATTTATGTTTTCGCTTATGAACACAATGATCCCATAAACAATAAAGCAACCTGGCATTTCACAGCAGTCACAAAAAACAGACTGCGTTGGAAAATTCACCACTGAATGGAAAGTCTGCAGAGTTCCTGGTCTTTTACTTTATGCTGTAACACACAACTTACACAGCCTTGTTAAATGCAGACACTCAGGTTTTTCTGATTATTTTATTATTAATTTATTTACTGGGGGACCATACTTGGCCTTTTCCATTTTACAATAAAACATGCCACGCTACGTACTTCACATTAGCAAAGTCACAATAGGCCTCACGTAACAACACGTGGGCAAGATTAAGCAGCTGACTTTTTCCCTTCTGTCCCTACTAACAGCCCAGCAGCAAACGATGAGGCAATTCACAAAGAGATGCAGCCATACAAATAATTCAGATTCAGCTCACAAACAGACAGTGGAAGGATTCTGCTTAAACTCATCAGGCCATAGCCAGCACAAAGAGTCATCAGCTTCGGCAGCGCAGCACTGAGCAGCTGAGCTACAGCTGCCAAGATCATTCCCAGCTATGCTTTATGCATTTGATCGGACTCTTTTTTCCAGATACCCTTTTCTCATTCGGTGTGGCTGCTCTCCCTCCCGTGCCATGACTGATTTTCTTGCAGAAGTTTTAAATAACCGACAAGCGCAGAAAGACGGGCACCGTCGCGCCGTTACCTGGGGAGGTGATGTGTATTTCCTGTCCTGCGGCGTCCACATCCTGTGCAAAGAATCTAGGGAATTCTCCGAGAGCTGATGGGATTTTCGGCCCGCATGACGGCCTTTCAGCTCCACATCCTCGTACGGGTTTTCCTTGGGTGACTCGCCTTCAAGGTTTTGAGTTTTTTTTAAAGAAAAGAAAAACAGACAGGAATGTAAAGTTAAAAAAACAAGTAAAAATCATGTGAACCAAGTGAAAGGCTGTTAGAAAAGCTCCTCGGCTTTCAGCATGACTCATCCCTCTAGCTGCAGCTGGAAGTATTTGGAGGAGAACTTGGCTATGAGGTCAACAAGTTTCTTTGGGTATTTTTTACTCCCCCCTTTTTTTTTTAATAAAATGCAAAGATTTCACAAGATGTGCTTCTGAGCATCTGCAGCTGTGGAAAATTTATTGATATATAAAAGCTAAGGCACATGAGTACTTTAAAGTGTATCAGTAGATTTTATAAATCTATAGCAGCCACTCACAGGGTGAAATGAATAGCAATAAATAACTGTTCTCAACACACCACCCTTACACACAATAAGACAACTTTTACTTGATGCTACCTTCTCTTTTCTCTTCCCCTGAGAGAAGGCAAAGAAAGAATAAACATTTCAGCTCAGCAGTGCCAAGAGAGAAGACTGAAAAACAAAAAGATGAGGGAAGAGTTTCTGCCCTAGCCATATTGCATCCTCAAAGTGTTCTTTAGAACACATCATGCCTTCGAATTAAGCAGTTATTCATTCTAATTTATGTAGCATTAGTATCTCCCAGAAACTCATCCTGCCAGTAATACATAGAAGCTTGAACAGTTCATCACTAAATATGACATAAATGAAAAATATATCAAAAAGCAGACTGCAATCTTTGAATTTGTAGCATTCAAAAACCAGAACCAAAATTTATAGTTCAGATTTAAGTAAGATCCAATACCCTTTGGCAGCCTACAGACCAGTGGAATAACTCACCATCTTCTCAAAACTCTAAACTCACTAAACCTCTCACTGAATTAAGAAGCTTGAAGATGAATGAGTGCCATCAGTAAAATGACCATTTTGTAACCATTTCTTCAGACAGTTCATAGCCAGAAACTGGTTTAGAACGTCAGGTTTTTCAAACACAGGGTCCTTACAGTTTTCCAACCGTCTTACACAGAAAATCACCCCCAGAAAAGTGATCTACTCAAATTCAAGACTTCAGTTTGCAGAAACTTGAAACATGCAGGAAGTTCAATGCTTTGGAACAAACTTGCTTTTAGTTTTATATCTAAAGATTACTCTAAAGCTCATGGGTTTGGTACAATTTATATTGCAATACAAGCTATCAAATATAAGAAATTCAGATTTTACTATATACTGTATCAGTTAAGAATTGAGGACAGAAAGCTATAGCATGGTTTATTATTATTCACACTGTTACAGAAAATATTCACGGCTTTTACAGAGATGACAGTTACAGCATAAGTGTTTTCAATAAGAGCAAGGCCTGGATTAATACTCAGTTTGTTTGACTACCAGTTTTTTTGTTCTAGACAGAACATTACATTTCCTCATTGCACAAAAGAAAACAAAAGTAGGTTGTGCTTTCTACTTTATTGTTAAGCCTGGAAGCGTGAGACTTCTTGATTCATCAATTATAGCGATAAAAGCTTTTGCTTACCAAGTTCACATATTCACAGTACAAGCAAAACTGTATTTTTACTTCGGTAGTGCATCATACTAAGATTTCTAGTTAAATATAAGCACAAGAGTGAATATTTTAGCTTTGTTTTAATTAGAAGCCTGAATGACTGCTGCTCTTGAAGAATGTTTGAATTGGCATTCACAGCTATTATTTAATCCAGAGGGAATCTGATACTAGAAGCTGCACTATCATCATAGTCACTCCGCATACCACATGGAAAGAACACCTTCAAGTGCATGGGGTACTTAGAAGAAAGACCTTTAGATTAATGTAATGAACAGGATAAATCTTAAGCAACAAACATTCCTACAAAAACTTAAAGCTACAAATATTCTGGGAGGACTATGGAATTGATTGATTCCTTCTGCAGAAAGAAAAATAAATAGATATTGCACACTAATTCTGTTACTTGTAAACTCTAGAGGTCTAGCTAAGATAATCATAACAGCAATAAGTGGTCAACTTTGCAAAATGCTGTTGCTTACTCACAGCTAATTGGACTGTACTAGCATAATAAAATTTCTTGCAAGCCCAAGTCAAGTATAGGTCAAACAGGCATTTTAGAATGGATTAACAGATTTCAAAATACTCAGCTGCATTAGACAGTGCTTAAACATATGCTTCCTTATTACATTATTCTGCATAGTATCCAAACTCTTGAAACAAGCCCATCAGTTGAAAATAAAACTTTTTAAAATGTAAAGCATTTAAAAGTTTTAGGGTGATTCTCTTTGCAAGACACAATGTAGAACAGAATTGCTTGAACCCAGTTAAACTCAACGTTACTAATGTTGACCTAAAATATTAAGTATAGAAACAGGCCCAGAGAAGTCTTGGATGAGAGGAGAGGGAGGAGCAAGGAACCATGAGCAGAGGCTGCTTTTCTGACTCAGATTCTCTACCAAGAGAAAGCTCAGGACAAATTCCTCTACAGTGTAATGTGGAGGTCAGTGAAGACACCACAGGGATTTTAACCCTTTCCCTAAAGCTGTGAGAGTTCCTTCAGATGACTGGTTGTCTTTCTTTTATTTGTCTTATCTGCAAAAAACTCAAATTATCTGAGGGTTTTCTTTTTCATTTTGAAATTATATTATGCCTTGAGACCAAATATGCCTCATCTTTTTTTTTTAAGAATAAAGTTTCCCACTAAATCTCTGATAATGAAATAGTCTGATCAATCTGAAAGAACCTGGTTTTGCTGATTTGGCATTTGAACCCAGTATTTGGTTCAGCTAGTAAACTAAAAGAGATAATTTATTTGTGTAGGTCTTCAATAATTTCAGAATCTTAGACAAGTACCATTTTTTAGTATATACGCTCTCCCTGGCGGATAAGACCAAAAGACCAGACATGCAAAAAGAGCATTAGGTGGCCTGGACAGGCTGGTTTTTGGGTGCCAAGGGTAGGAAGGCCAAGTGACAAGAAACCCAAGATGGCCAGCAAGCTAAAAAGATGTGTGAGGGTACTGTGAACTGCCTTAGCGCAGCATTTAACCCTGTCACTCTGCACCGTGACTGCTTTCCATGGGAGAAAGACCTGGGAACAGATGGCCACCAGCAGATGTAGGTCCCATGCTGGAGTGATGCTCTGAGGAAGGGCCGCCGTGGTGGCTGCTGCTGTTCCTGCAGCACAAAAATAAGGAAAGCTTCCATATGGCTGGGCTGGCTCAGAGGTTTGCAGCTTTGATCTCTGCATTTCTCCTCGACGCCATGAATTTTCTAGTCCCAAGACCCAGCAAGGAATGTTCACAATCTGCAAGCTGCAGTGCTTTTGCATTCATTTGAATTTGCTGCAAAAGGAAAACACATTTACAACGAAAGAGCAAGGAAAAATCCTTGTTCCTCCCATATGGATGTCTCTATTGGAAGCCAAAAGGAGAAACATTATGCAATATAGAGGCCAGGCTTGTCTTGATGAGGGTGATCCAACTGCCACACAAGACAACAGCAGATTATCACTGACTTCAAAGGAAGCTGAATCAAATCCCCAGAATGCATATGGTCACCCGAAATAGGCAGGCTGTGGCAAATACCGTCTCTGATCACCACTCCTGCTTCCAGACAAGCTCCCTTTATATGCATTTTTTTTCAAGTTTCCCATTCTCTTGAATTCTACTTACCGAACTGATGAGTTAACATGGGACTTTTATCTACACAACATTTGTCTTCATAAGATCTCACAGGCAGTTGAATGATTGGTCCATAGGGGAAAGGAAAACAAAGCAAAACAAAACAGATAAAATAAGCAGTGGTCTTTAGAAAAAGTTCTGAGGAATGCAGTGCCTTGAGCTTAAGCATCGATGAGTGTCCCCCAGCAGTTGCAGTTCCTCACCCTGTGATGTTCTTCGAGTCAGCCCCACCGAGTCCTGAGGCAGCACACAGTGTTCCTCTGCTCAGCCTCTCACACGTGGCAAATGGGAAGCAGAGGCAGACTCAGCAAGGCTGTCTCATGCTGAGAAAGGACTGAAAAGTAAGGCTGAGGGGAAAAAAAATTGCAGGCAGACATTTCTCTATAAATGGCAGAAAGCAGGGAAACGCGTAATTTCTTTTTAGATGGGAGAAATAATTATCAGAGGAATGAAGTGATTCACTGAGTGCTGATTGTAACTCCTGCCTTTTGCACTGCCAGGAAGTGAGAAAGATTGAGCAGCAAGTACACAGTAAGAGAAAGGGCTTATCAACTTGGGTTAACTTGGGTGCCTAAATTAGGAGCCAGTGTTTGCAGAGGAGATACTGTCTCCAGAGAGTGATGCTGCGTGCCCAAGCTAGAAGCCTACTGCCTTCCCTGCTGGCTACATAGAAAGCCGAGGCCCCTGAGCTGTATGGCTGGGTTAGGCAGAGGTAGTACCTCACAAATGACAAAGCACGTGTTTCCTGCATACTAGGGCATGTGCACAAAATATAGGGCAATCAATGTATTTTACATTGTAATGAACTGAGAGATTAAAGATTCAGCTGCCATCCCAGGAGAGACTTGGGAAAAAGTAGCACATAGCTCCAGGGGCAAAGAGCTGGAAATAGTGGCAATAAATGGGCAGAAAAAGAGGCGCAGATAGGCAGAATCAGGCCTGAATAACAGACGAGTAGAAATACCCAAGTGAGCAGTCTGTAAGAATCTCTGATGCTTGTGACACCTAGCCCTTCAACCTTTTGCAGTGTTTCTGTAACAACAGACACAAGGTGCAACATCAACTCCTTTCCACGCATAATCCCTCTAATGGCATGTACAAATCCTTGAACTACCTTTTCTGCCCTCTGCCCATGACCTCCATTCAGTTGTAGATGTAGCCCAGTTCATCCAGCTCATGCACATTTGGTGCACACTAGCCCATGCGGAAGATTAAGGTAAAACACAACCGGGCAAGGAAGCAGCAAGCAGAGAAGAGCGGCTGGGGAATTCTGCTTTTGCTGCCATTGAAGAGGAAGCAATGGGAATGAACCT